CAGTCTTGATTCTCTTTTCACAGCAGCCATTAATTGCCTGTAGATCTTCATTTCGGGGTTGGGCCTTGTGACATTTCCCCATCATTGCTATATGTCAAGAGGTGTTGTCATTATGCAGGTCTTATTTAGGTAACCATATTGTTCAGAGTACAAAGAGTGCAACTTCTTTGTCATATAGAGATATTATTGCTAGAAGATGTACATACATATATGTATGTGTATACACACACACACATACACACACACATACACCACACACACACACATATATATATATGTATATATATACATATATATATATATGTATCCTGGCATAAATTTACATATTAAATTAGACTTATGCATACTTGACTCATATAATATTTATCGATTCTCATAAAGACTACATGAGTATGTACCATATTGTATCATTTCCATGTGATGAAATGGTCATAGATATGTTAAATGGTAACACAGGTAATTAATAAACACAGAGCAAGAACATGCCCTATCACTGTCGAACCCATCTAGTTAACCAATTTCCAATTCTTCTGTATCCAAAGTCATCATGAAATTAATTGGCCAACACATTGAAGCCATACAATTAAAAGCCCATTGGCACATTATCTTTACCCTTCTTCTTTAAAATAATTTTTGTTTGAGAATTTTGTACATGCTTATAATGAGCTTTAATCACATCCACCATTTATGTCATAAATTCAATTCTTCAATCCTTAAGTAGCAGCAAGTGAATATATTTCTATGTGTTAAATTTACTTATCTTAGTTACTGAAGTTGAAAACAGTATATCTATTAGTATTTTCCCTTGCTAATCCTCCAATGAATTGTTTGTTGACACAGTTAAAATGAAAAAGAACCTCTAGAAAAAAAATTGACTTTTATCCAATAAACATCCCTTTAACCTACTATGTGTTAATCTCTGGAGATATGATGGTGAATTAGGCATGATTTCTTAATGAATTCAGTGCCTACTGAAAGTAGTAATCACACCCAATTCCAGTAAGTTGAGCATAATTAGAAATATACTGAAGACTATGTCACAGCAAAGTTTACAAATGATTTTAACAGCAAAGCTTGATTCTTTTTTGTTTTCATCCCACTGTAGCCAGGGTCTGTGTACACATCCATGGCTCCTGTTGCTGTTGAGTGTCATGCTGACTCCAGAGACCAGAACTGCCTCCTGGGGCCGAGTTCAGGTTCATGAGCCATGCTGCCACTGGGGCCATATCGGTCTTGGAGGCTCTTGCTGTCAACTGGGGCCATGGTACCATCCAGGCCTTGGCTGCTGCAGCAGAAGGCCATGTCTATGCCTGTGGTTGTCCTACTGCAGCTGATGTCATTATTGATACCAGTGTTCCCATGGCACCAGCGGGCCACATGAAGCCTTGAGTCTGGGCCACATCCTGTGGCTTTGGTGTAAAGAGACCATGCTGCCTTCAGAGCCATCCTGGTCTCAATGCCCATAGCTACCACTCAGAACAAGGACGTTGACCAGGCCAAGCTGCTGCCTGAGGACATGTCTCAGTCCATGGAACAGCTACAGCTGTGGTGTGCATTGAACTCTGTTGCACAGGTTACCACTAGGGCCCATACAGAGACCCTGGGATCTGTACTAGAGCCTGTGGCTTGCCTGGATTCAGGGGAGCCACACAACAGCAGGAGCCATACAGACATGGGTGGCCTGTACTACCACCTGGGACCAGAGTGCCATCCCGGATGCCTCTGAGGGCCATGTCTGGGTCCATGGCCCTGTAGCAGCCAGGGTCGAGATTGACATACATGGCTCCTCCGGTTGACACCAAGAGCCACGAAGAAGCCTGGGATCAGACCACCACCTGAGTCTGGATTGGTGACAGAGGACCAGGAAGCAACCATATCTGGGTGACCTGTGCTGCTATTCAATGATAAAGCTTGGATTCTTATTCTAGAAGGCAGGCATGTTTAAAGTGGAGATCTGTAAATAGTTCTCAATGTGTTGATCTGCTGAAGAATAGCAAGACAGGACTACAATTAGCTTTGGCCATAAATTTAGTAGCATCATATTTAAATTTCTAAAAATATTTTATGTGCATGCGTGTTTTTGCCTTCATGTATGTATATGAATCACATGTATGTCTCTAACCCCAGGAGGTCCAGGATTGGTCACTGGATCCTCTGGGGTTGGAGTTTGAGATGGTTGTGAACCACTATATGAGTGAAAACAGATCCCAGGCTCTTTGTAAAAAATGAAAGTTGCACCTAAGAAAGAGCCACCTCTCCAGTCCCTACAATTAGCATTTAAGCTTTGTTTCTGGCAGTGATTTTGTTCTATACAGACATGTATTGCTTAACAAGAGAACACATTTTGAGAAATACAGGAGACATATATAATTGTAAGATCACAAAAAACACACTGTCGAGGTACTGACATTTTAAAATGTGGGTAGATTTGATCTAAACACATTGTATTCTTGTATGAAATTATCAAAGAATAAGCAAATCTAAAAGTGGATTTTCATAGATTTCCTAGAAATACCAATAAGAGGCAGGGTAACCTCAAAATTTATTATAAAATTTCAATTTTTACAGATATTATTTAATGTGTCTAGTTTGCATGGAAACATTACATCTGTGAGTTATTTCTTTGAATTTACAAGACACATCATGGGGAAGCCAGCTCTTGTTTTCCAAATTCATCAGGAAATTAGATGGTATGTTATTTAAGAATCCCAATCTTATCATTACTGCAATGAATAGGTAAGTACACCTTTGATGGTTCATCTTGAATGCCAACTAGATTGTATTAGGACAAACTACAAATTAGTGACTAGAAAGACCGTTATAGAGGGTGACTGTGGAAGTTTGCTGCATTGGCACATGTAGCATTTAAACAGATTATTTAAAGTTTGTAGAACCGTGGAATGGTCTATTTAGAAGAATCAAGTAACAGGAAACATGCTTTTGTATAGGGTAAACCTCCAATTTGGCCTCTTCCTGGATGGCATGTGGTAAACAGCTTTTCTTCCATGCTTCCACTTTACCACTGATTTACAAAGAAGAAAGCCAACCGTAGTCTGAATCCTCTTTAAGCCCAAGCCAACACTCATCTTGTCACCTTTGAATGACATCTCTCAGTCTCTCTCACACCTCTATATATTAACCCTGAGTTACTCTCATTTCTAAATCTGAGGTGCAGACTGTAACATTTGTAGATACTGTAGATAACGGTGCACATATCCTCATGATGATTTGCCTGTCTGAGTCTCACTCTGAAGAGTTTCACACTCTGGAGTAGCAGATTACAGAATGGTGAAGGATTGCTTTTCATTTGTGAAGAAAGAAAAGATACTATTTTTTAAAAGATGGTATAAAAAGAAGAAATCTGAAAACACAGCTGCATTTTAAAGTTGGTTTTTGGAAAGCATGCCTGTAGAGAAATTGAGGATCTGGAAGCTGGTGTTGTCTTAAAGGTAGTCAATTATGTAGAGTGTAGTCTGTTTTCTCTACTGGTTTCACACTGCAAAGCACTTAACTGCAGTCACCAAAAGAAACACAAGGAATTGGAGCTGAAATTGTGTGGCTCTGTGTCTGTCTGCTTCTTTCTCCTCTGCTATTGGCCAGCTAACTCCATTTGAAAGTTCTCTTAAATGAAGTCAATCAGGAAGGAAGTGAAGAGATGCACTAATCAGTCAGCCACTAAAATTACAGAGCCATGTTCTCCCAAACCCATATATTGCAGTCCTGTATCTCAGGGTGACCTATGCAAACTTCCACACTGTTTGATACTGACAAAAGTAAAGAGTGGTAAGACTTTTTCCCTAGAGGGCTTTTGCCTAACATGTGTTGAAGGCACTAGAACTATCTATTTTTTTTCTTCCAGACAAGGACATATAAAGACATGCAAATGTGAGAAAATAAGTTTCTGTTGTACAAACCACTCATTCTGTGGTGTTTTGCTATGGAAGTTTAGCACACACACTAATGCAGTGTGCTGTGTGCAAAGCAGTTTCATGATTATTATTTGAGAAGATTCCTTAGGCATTCACTAATGTTCACTTCTGATTTCTCTTGTGGTCTTTCCCTGGCTACTCAATTCATGACATCATGACTTCCTTACCTTACATAAAAAGCCAGGCAACTCTCTACAAAATCTGGTTAGGCTGAAGAAAGCTCATCAGAGCAAGCCCCATCTAAGGATTGTTATATTGCTTAAGTGTCTGTGCCCTAGTTCAGATCTTATCAGTGGCATTCCAGAAGCTTCTGATCCCCCTATTTGTTAGCTGTGGCCCCTGTTGAGAATTCATTGCATCAGGTATTTTTCCCTGCGTCTTCCTAGGCATCCCAAGTTCCATCCCAGAGCCTACCCCAGCAAAGCCCCTGCATTCTAGTCCGCACCTCAGTTTGCAAATTCTGTTATTAGGAAATTCTACAAAATGGAACCATAGATCTTGTTTGTGTATGTGGAAGGAATCTAAAACTGCAGAAATATTATATTCTATTTTAAATTCCCCATCTGTCTATAATTCCTTCTACACTTTCATGAGATGCTGAAGGCCACAAATGCATTGCTTATATGACTATCCACACCATTTAGGACTGTATGAAATAATCATAGTTTCTGACAAATGCATTCTGAATAAACTGCAGTTATTTCATTATCTCTCCATAGGCTAGATTAACTTTAAATAGAAAATTATTATAAAATTTCAGTGTCTCGATCTAGGACTTTAAGTTGGATAGAGTTTGGCTATGCTCCTTGAGTGACAGTTTATATGTACTTTAATAAAACATTTTTATGAAAGTGCAGAGCGTTACTTCACATGGAATCATGTGCATATGAACTTTATTCATACAGTATCCCCAGTATCTGTCACTGCTTTCAAATGGTAAATATATGCATCCCTCACTGGGCTTCAGCCAGTTCATAAAAACATTAAAGTCGCACATTCTAAATGGGCAACAGTGATATTTTAATTCATGTAAAGACCAAAAATTTGACATCTCAGGATAAAAGTGTCTTCCACTTCAAATACTTATCAAAATTTGAGGGGCAGGCTTGAAAATTTTCATTTTTAATCTGATTTTTATATTATATAACATGCTTGATACCTACTGTCATTTGTAAAATGAGTAGACATTTGAAATTTTATCCTTCACTGACTAAGTCAGGTGGCATTTAAGCATGCTCATATTTAAAGTAGAATAAAATTCATAATGTGACAAATTATTTGTGACATACATTTATCAAAATGGTATAAATCAAAGGTAATAAATTAGCATATAAAACATCTATATATTAATATATCTTTTTCCCCCGACAATGAAAGGTTTGCAAAGGAATTACATCATTAGCTCACTGAAGAATTCTGTTCTTTTTTGAGGTTTGCTCTCTCTTCTTCCTCCTCCTCCTCCTCCTCCTCCTCCTCCTCCTCCTCCTCCCTCCTTCCCTCTCCCTCTCATCTTAACTTTTATTGACTCTTGGCATTTCACATCATGCATTCTGATCCCACTTATTCCCTGGTCCCCTTCAATTTGCTCTCTGCCCTTGCAACATCTCCACCATCAAAACCAGGTTTAAAATAAAAACAAAATCAAAGAAACAACAAAATAAATGAAGACTCTTGTCACAGAAGCTGTAGTGTGGCCTGTTGACTGTCACACAGTTTGTTTACCCTGTAGTCTGTTCATTTTGACTTGCAGGCATTCATTGCCGCAAGTCATTAGCTCTGGCTTGTGGCCTCTGGCTAGTGCTACACTGCCAGTAAAGGGCTCTCAGTGGAGCTCCTTTTGGATATCCTGTTGGGCTGTGTCATAGAGATACTGTATGTGTGGATATTTAGTTTTGTTCCCTTCACATGCTCCAGCAGTTCATAGATTGGGTGGGTGTTGGGGTGGACCAACTTAAGCCCTGGTTCTGGGCCTGTCTGGTAGCTGGGTTGGGCAGTCTGCCAGACTTCCTTCACTACCTAGGCAGGGTCTCCAGTACTGCCTCAAGGATACCTCATCCAAATCATCCTGCAGCAAGAGGTGGAGCCAGTTCTCCTGCTCATGGGGCCTCAGCTTTACATTACCCACACCCACTCTACAAGGGCCAGCTCTTTTTTCTCACAGGCAAGGTGCAAAGTCCTCTCTCATAGTAGCTGTCATGGTCTTATGAGGGGACAAATGCAGGTGGGTGACTTACCAAGTTGTTCAGAATTCTCGTTAGCACTGTGGTTGAGCTACATGGTAACCACATGGTCCTTCACATGATGTGCTATGCTCTATTGATAAAAGGAGATTAAGCACTGCCCAAGAAAGGTTTGTCCCTAAAATTCCATTCATTATTTCAAATGAATCACTTAAGACTATTCTTGGTGAAATAACAAAGCAGAGAATTGAAGTCAAACATGTAACACTGAATGGTGTCTTTATTTCTGGTAGGTAGGGCATCATTAATATTTTCCAAATAGAATGTGAACTTATGGTGCATCCTCTGCTATCAGCTTCTAGATTTTATTTATTTATTTATTTATTTATTTATTTATTTAATGTGTTAAGATGCCATGTTAGAATCAAATTTCTAGATTCACAGAACTCCTATGCTTTACTCTCAAGTACCTGGAACCACAGGTGTGTACCACTGTATCTGGCTTTAATTTTAACTCTTCTAATTTCCTATTTTTATTTTTGGAAATAACACACACACACACACACACACACACACACACACACACACACACACACACACATTTTTGTTTATCCACCATTAGTTGATTTAATGTCTCCTTTAGATTTTCCTGGGTCATGAAGACTGCATTCTACTTTGGTGAATGCAATTAATATGCACACTCTATTTCACTCAAAAAGGATAATTCATTTCTGAAATGCACAGTAGGAACAGCCCTACCAGCAATGTGATGTTAAATTTCCAATCAGAGAATTACTAGGTGTAAGAACTGAACAGTGTATGAAGCAGTGAGACAGCCAGGTGGATGCCTAGGGATGGACCAGCAGGCCAAGGGGCCTAGAGCCAAGTTGCAAAGGCTGGAGCTGCTGTCAACACTGACAAAATATTAAAGGTATAATATAGTTGATAGACTTCCTGAAGAAGAGTGGAATCAGGCAACAAATCTGTGGTTGGCAGTAATAAAGGACTGAGTGGAGATGGCGAGTATTGAACTAGCTTTGTATTTTACTACATATGAAACACCTCCATTCTGCCAGATTTTGGAAAATTAAATCGTTTTCTTTGTGTCTTAAAAGGATGACTCAGCTTTTCTGATAGGAACAGCTGGTTGGGGACATAGATTTAGCTGGGTGATAAAATGCCAGTTCAATTTGTTTGAGGCCATGGCATTAATTGTTAGTACTGCACAAGAAAAACAATAGTCCTGCTGCTTGTGGTTGAGAGTGGCCAATGTAGAAGTATGGAGAGCCACTAGAAAGATCACTGTGTGGAAAAGCATGCAGGGTAGCTGTGCATCTCAACAGGAATGATGGGGTTTATACCAAATAAGACAGGGAATGTATTGGTGAGATAGGTGTTGAACTTGCAAGATTGGAACATTTTAAACTAGAGTGTTTATCTGTAGACAAATACTAAATAGGCAGGTAGCAGTCAAGACTGGCATGTCCAAACATGATCTACAGTGTCTATGTATGTGTGTGTGCCTTCCTGACTTATCTTTGACCTATGTTATTCAATACCACAAGGGGGAGACTAGAGATAAGAACTGAGATACAGCCATGGGGGAGTCTCAATTAACAGGCTAGTGAAAAGTAGAGAAGCAAACATGTGAACCTGAGAAGAGGTAACAAAGAGAGGTGTGAGGAAAACCAAGTGGATGTGTTTCCTTTGAAGCTAAATAAAGAGCAGCAGAGGAAGGAGTGAGCAGACATGTGAAATTTTACAAGTAAGTCACTTGAGCACATTGCTGAAATTTTCTGTTTAATTTAGCAACAGGCAATGTTTGATGACTTGATCAGTGCAGTGTGGGAAGTGTGAGGTGAGCAAAACAGGTCGAAATGAGTTAAGCTGAGAATGATGGGCAGAAAAAGGGGAATTTGAGATTGGGAGTTCAATCACTCTGAAAGGAGAGAGAGAGAGAGAGAGAGAGAGAGAGAGAGAGGAGAGAAGAGAGAACACGAGAATCAGGGGAAATGGGATAAAGCAAAGATATTTTTAGGAAGTATGCTCTTACATTAAAGAGAATTATCTCTAGGGATTGGAAAATACTGTACCAGACAGTAGAGGAGAGGACATGACTTCTGCGATGGTGAAATTCAGTAAGCCCATTCAGGGTATGGTATAACTATTGAAAATTTGAAAGCAATAAGAAAATGCATCACTGTACAAGCTTTACATGAAGATCATGTAAATATTATGCAGCACTCATCTCAAAGGTGGTAAGAGATGGTTCATTATGGAACCAAATACCAGTGGCCATGGCCCAGAAATGCAGATACTAACATAGAATCTCTTTCGTGAATTTTATACACACTAATAGAAAAAAGAAAGTCACAAATTAAGGTACTTTCAAATGATGGAGACGGTTTGTAGGTGGGTTCCAGCAAAGTGGGGGAAATAGCTGCTTTAGATCCCAAATGCTGACTTATTACATTCTTAGCTTTTGGGCTAGTGGAAGTGAGGAGTCTGCAAAGTTAATACATTTCAAAGGTTTCGTCTCATAGTTACATATTAGGAAATGCATACAGTGGACAAGAAATGGGAAACAAAGAGGCTTATGATAGTCCTAGAAAGACTGCCATTGGTCTTTGTGCCCTGGACTTGCAAGAGTTCAAGCTCTCTACAATATTGAGGTTCCCCTTGGTTACTCACCATAGCAGAAGGTTAATGGAAGAAGTGGCTTCCTTCCCAGAGCCTTCATTTGTGATAACAAAATATGACAGACCATGTAGCTTAACAGGAATGTTTTTTTCTAGAAATTTAATAAGCAAGAAGTCTAGATAAAGAGGTGGGCTGCCTTGGTTTTTTTTTAAGGCCTCTCTACTGGGACTACAAGAGCTGTTATTCATTGTCTTTCACAAGGTCTCCTCTCTGTGCAGTCACATGTCTGTACATTCTCCTTGTAAGGGCATCAGTCCTATTGGATCAAGGCCCCCACATATGACTTAACTGTATCCCAGCACAATAATATTCTTAAGTCAGGGCTTTGATTTCAATATACCAAAACAAGCTGGTAAAAAAAATTAAATTGGATCATCAGCCAGAGTATATCACCTATGATTTACTTCATAGATTTTTTTGATGGTCCTGAATTCATTTGAACTAGAAAAAGAAGAAGTTCATGTGGGAAAATGTTCATAAAATCAGAGATGTTGGTGAGGAATAATTAATGTGGACCGCTTTGTTCCTCAATATAGACCAACTTGTGGAAAACCAGAAGCATCATCTCCTTGTCTTTGATTTTCATGAAAGGTACGAACATGAACTGTGGAACATCCTCTAAATTGCACATTGAACAATGAAAGATGAGAAGTTAAAATGTGTCATACAGAACCTTGCATCTGCAAATACTTTTCGATAACTCCACAGACACCACCATTCAGTAACACAAAATTATTTAAAGAGTGGAAAATAATCTAAGCAGAAACATATCTGAGAGGTTGTATATTGTGGGGAACTGTGGGTTTCACAGGATAGATTTAGCTAAATAATTAAATAAACAAGAAACCAAACAGACAAGGGCAAGAAACTCCAAAAGGAATGACTAAGGTACCTTTCCCTCCAAATGGAAACATTTAAATACATAAACATTCATATTATTCAATAAGATATATGCACTGGGCTGGAGAGGTGGCTTAACAATTAGGAGTTTATATTGTTCTCACAGAAGACTGGAGTTTGGTTCCCAGCACCCAAATTTGATGGCTTACAACTGTCTGTAACTACAATTATAAGGTGGTCTCTGCCTTCTTCACATACCTGCATTCAGGCACACACACACACACACACACACACACACACACACACACACAGTGTAAGAAAAGTATGCACATGTATACAAAACTTGGCAGAGTTTGCATAATAATGTATAACAATGGGAAGTGAAAAGGTGAATCAGGAAAGCAGATTGTTGGGAAATCTTGGGAAGAGTACCATGAGCACTGGTAACTTTCCTTGCTATCAGACAATAAATTAGTGCTATTGATTGATATGCCATGTTAATCGGATTAGTGACTGTTCCATTTCCTGAGAATCATGTGCTTAATATTTGGCTTAATTTGCTGTTATTATAAATCTCACTGTATATTGTGGTGTATCACCTGACTTGCCAACAGAGAGCTAGAACCGGCCTTTAGGACATCACTGTCAGCCTCCAAATTTTCCACGATTCTGTGAACATTTGTTTAGATCTGTCTGTCATTTGCTGTGCTAGTGTAGCCTATATCTATAATTTGATCATATTTATTTATATTTCCTTGCTGAAATACTTTTGGTATCTATTATAGACATAAAAAAAACTTCACTCTGCCTCCTGTGATGTATGCTCACTCCTTTAATGGTAGCACTTAGGAGGCAGAGGCAGGTAGATGTCTAAGTTCGGGGTTAACGTGGTCTACAGAATGAGCTCTAGGACAGCCATGACTACACATAGATTTCCTGTCTCAAAACACAAACAAACAAAGCCAACCAACTCGATTCGCAATCAAACAAACAAACAGAAACTTTATTCTACCTTGCATTAAACCTATTTTTAAGGTGAAAAATTAAAATTATCTTCAAAGATTAATTAGTAATGTTATAAAAGACCAAAGCTAAGCCTATGGATTCAGTCACATAGTGATTAGAATTGGGCTCTGGGGCTATTATACATTAGCATCAAGAGTTTCTGGAATTGTATTTTTTGTACTGTTTCTGACATGCTTCTGACTGTTTCTGAAAACTGTTAACATGAATGTTGTGTGCTGAATTATTGTCTACCTGGGTATTTATTTTGCATTTGAAATATAGTAAGATGATTAAATGTACTAACTAACACTAGCAAAAGTTGATAGTGCCCAGGATCTTGTCCACTTACTCCACCAGGGATTTGGTGCATTAATTCATAGCATAATCTTAAGGAAGACTTAAATAGAAAAATCTCCTTTGAAGATTTCAACAAGAAAAATAAAACTTTTGGCCTTTCCAATTAAAAGCTGAGTGTGTTTTACCAAGATGAATATAATGATATTCATTTATTTGACTCATCGGCCACTCTAATTTACTACCTCATGATTCTGAAGTTGCACAGAAATATGTATTGAAACACAGTGAGAAGCCTCTGCTTCCTCACAAGTGCAATCCCCAAAAATTCATCCTTGATTTCAGACAAAATCTTTCCTTTTTCTTTTATACACCTTGCCCAAAAAGTACCCTTGCAGAGTAACTGGATAAATGATTTCTTTCCTGTACAAGTTACATCTTCTCATCCTTTGTTATAAGGAAGCAGATCATTCAAGGAGACTGTGTAGGTCTCAGAGGCAGGGTGTTTGTAGAAAAAAGAATTAGGTGGCAAATAGAGAAGAAAATGTGAAGCCAAAAGAGTGTGTCTGGTGAGAGTGTGTGTGTGTGTGTGTGTGTGTGTGTGTGTGTGTGTGTGTGTATTGCTGGCATCCCCTCTGAGGAGCCTAAACAAATAGATGTCAGTCTCACTGGCATCACTCCCATTGGCTCACTTCCACCTATGGAAAAAGCAAAGGAATTACAACAGTGGATTGTCGTTCTAAAAAGTCTTCTAGGATATTTGATAGGGGTCTTCAAAGTTGTGGGAAAGAAAATTCACTCACAGGGAAAAGAAGAAGCACCTGATCCTGATCATCTTAGTGACACCTAGAACCATGTGTTCCTAATCTTCTCACAGTGACACCCAGAACACCTGGTCCTGATCATCTCACAGTGACACCCAGGATGACCTGTACCTGATCATCTCTCACAGTGACACCCAGAACACCTGGTCCTGATCATCTCACAGTGACACCCAGGATGACCTGTACCTGATCATCTCTCACAGTGACACCCAGAACACCTGGTCCTGATCATCTCTCACAGTGACACCCAGAAAACCTGGTCCTGATCATCTCACACAATAACACCAGGATGACCTGTACCTGATCATCTCACACAGTGACACCCAGAACCACCTGATACTGCATATCTTTCACAGTGACACCCAGAACTACCTTATGCAGATCATCTTACACATTGACACCAAGAACAACCTGATCTGATCATCTCACAGTGACACCCAGACCCATCTGATCCTGATCATCTCACAGGGACGCCCAGAACCCCCTGCATCTGATGACCTCTGTCACTACCCTTGCATATCACTTCTGACCTGAAGACATGTTTAAAATTCTTAGTTATGTTTGTGCCAATTCAGTTCCAGATGAATCTCATGGTGAATTCTGCAGAGGCAGTAGAACTAATGTTGGTAGAAGATGTATTAGTGGTAAGAACCTTTCCCGGACATGCATGCAGAGGCGTGTGATCCTACAGAGATACTCAAAGGAGGCTTCGTGGAAAGAGATCAAATGTGAGTGCTGGGGGAACTGATGTGTGTGCTGATAGTGTAATTCTAGTACAGGTGTGAGAGGTAGAAAAATCACATCTCCCTCATACTGGGAATGTTCCTTTTGAAATGTCATTTGAATAACAGAGATGTCTCTTAAGAGAAGTAATTCCTAATTACCCATGGACAGCTGTTGATAGCCAACCTTAAAATGCCTACTTTGTAAGAATCTCTCCTTCATTGTATCCCACAAAGACATTTCATCAATTGATACAGTTTGAAGACAATTTCTTTTTTAGATGAAAAGTCATCATAATTTGATGTTCTTTGAGCAACCTCTACAATCTTCTCCTATTAAGTAGAATGACTGTTTTCTTTTGCTTTTTGAGTTTTGGTTACATACTAAATAATAATTTACTCTAGGCAGTCAAGAAGTTAAACCTGAGTTTAATTGATGAAAAATAAATGCTGGCACATTGAGTCATGTTATCAAACAGCAAAAATCTGCATGGATTGGTCCTTATTTTCTTTCCCTTTCACCCCAGCCTGCTGGAATCTTCTCTGGCAAGCAACTCTGCAGATGGCCAATGGGTAGTTCACACTCTCCTGTAAGTTCCAAAGACAATACTGCTAGTCTTCAGTTGGAAGAGTTTCTGTTTGATGCTCTGAGTTTTCCATTCTTAACAATAGTAGTTTATGAGCTCTAATATACAGATTTTTTAAATTATTTTTTTATTTTAGAGGCACCCATATTTACATATCCATCACCCCATTCCCTCACCCTCCCATCCTCCCATGTTCACCACCAACCCTCCCAACCCATCCCCCACCTCTTCCCCAGGGAAGTCCATCATGTCATTTGGGGGAGGGCCTAGGCCCTCCTACCTATATATGGGCTGCAATAGTCTCCCTCCATGGGTAACGGGCTCCCAAAGTCCATTTGTGCTCTAGGGATAAACTCTGGCTCCACTGTTAGAGGTCCCATAGACTGTCTTGGCCTCCTAGCTGGCACCCACATTCAGAGGGCTTGGTTCGGTCCAAGGTTGTTTCCCATGCTTTATGACTAGGGTCTCCATGCTCTCATTAGGTCAGGTCCACTGTTTCTTCGGGTTTCTTCAGCCCCATCTTGGCTCCCTTGCTCATCCCTCCTCCCTCTCCACAACTGGGTTCCAGGAGTATGTTTCAGTGCTTAGCTGTGGATGCCTACTTCTGCTTCAAACATATAGATTTTTAAAGAAATTAATTCCACATATTGATGTGTCCATGAGAAGATGAATAAGCCTGATCAAATGTTGCTTTTTGTGCTTTTCTACATGCTGTCAAGTCGTTCATTATGATTTTTCTTCAATTTCATCATCACATTACCTGATATTTTGGTCATAATATAGACAAAATAGGTAAGAAATTTATTCACATTTTGTGTATGTTATGATGATTTAATCTTCCCATTATCTGACATCACATGCATTTATTTTTAGCTCTTCTTAAATCTTCAAATTTGAAAGCAAGTGGTATTTCAAATGCATTAGATGAATGTTCTGTAATGAATAGGTGTGGAAGGAGAATAAACCAGGCATTGCCTGAGACTCTGAGCTCCAAACGAAAGGCACGAGGGGAATAAGAATGGCAAGTGTTCATGCACCACTGAGCTCATCTGCATGCTCTGCTCTACTTCGTTGTTCTCATGGAGAATTATTCGTGATGATGCCCAATGAGGCTGCTATGGGGATGAGACAGGATAAAAGCTGCAGTGGAGCTCTGGGTGGGTGGAAAACTTGCCTTCCTGAGCTGAGGAAAGTATCAAAGGTATTTAAGTAATAAAAACTAAGAAGGGAAGACAGGGGACCTGATGATGAGATGGAAATAGAAGGGAATGTGATGTGAAAAGAGCACAGAATGTTCTTATTCTCCTGTTCTGTCATTTTTTTTTCATCCATGCGTCTTGTTTGCAAAAGCCTGCCAGAGTTTCTTCTGAGGATGCTGCAGGGATGCTCAGCATATCTACATAGGTGAAACACACACGAACAATTAAGTCTGAGATGAAGCATTTTGAAGTCTAGCATCTCCTAAAATCAGAAATGGCACGCCTCTACACTCCCTTATTTTTAGCTACTAGTTTTCTGAGGGTGGTAATAATGAAGTGTTTTTGGTGGGGCATCGAGTTCACGGGGGAGGTAAGGATGGCATTTCTTTGATGAGCAACAAAGAAGAAATGGAGTCTGGACATAGCCAAAGATGCTGCATTTCCATTCATCTTCCAGGGGTTGACCACAATGAGCTGGATGAGATTCATGGGTCTGAAACAAAAGCAGAAGACAAGGTGAAGACATCTCCCAGTTTTTTTAGTTTAGTTTTATGTGTTTGTTTTTCACTTAATTTTGATAGAATAACATTTTACTTCAAACACGTTTTTTTCCAACATATAATTTTGTACCACAAACATGTATTTTCCCATATGTTTTAAGAAGAATTGCTGAAAAAGAATTTAATCATTAAGTTTAGGCATCATTTTCTGTTATGCTGTCTATTACACCAGACTTAAGAGATGTTAGCATATTGCCCAGAGAAAGCATAGATTTAAGGTCAAATAGTTTGGAGAAGTGTTGACTGGTCTTTTGTTCTCTTGGAGTTTACTAATACTTAAGTGGACTCAATAATCCAAAAAAAGGAAGTTGGTGTAACACAGCCTTGAAGAAAATGTACTTGATAATAAAACCTATTTATTATATAATATAATATAGTTTCAATGTTATATTTTTATTAGGAGTGCGCTTTGGGGAATAATTTTGGGAATAATTATTTATATACCCACATTGCAGTGCTCCTCAGCCATCAGTGTCATGTGAAATTGCTGAGGAACTTACTGAAGCAGAAACTAACTCAGTGTCTGTCTGTGTTCTGGTCTCTGGTGGCGCCCAGGTTGCTGGGCTGGAAGCCACAGCATGAGCTGCTCAGCAATGTGACGCTAGCGCTGTGAAGTACGGCAGAGCTTACAAGGAGAGGGTGGCAAACACTTGTGATTCAGCAACTTCAGGTGCTTAGGATGATGAAGTGAAACAAAACATTATTCACTTTTTATTCGTCTTACATACAAACCACAGTCCCCCTCTCTACCCTCCTCCTGCAACTTCACCATCCTCCCACCCTCCCAGCCGCCAACCCCCCAACCAGCTCACCCCCCAACCAGCCCATCCACTCTCCAGAAAGGGTAAGGCCTCCCATGGGGGGTCAAGAAAGCCTGGCATATCAAGTTGAGCCAGGACCCAACCCCGCCCAGCCTCATCAAGGCTGAGCAAGGAGAAGGATTACATGAACAAGGGGGCAAGATCACCATGGAGAAACCCCCAGAGACAGCTGACGGGAGCCCCTGGGACCTCACGGACTCTGGCCCTATACCTGGGGAGCCTGCAGGGGACCAACCTAGGCCCTCTGCTAGTGGGTGACCATTGTGCAGCGTGGTCTGTTTGTGAAACAATTCTTTAGTGGAAAAGTCTTTCTCTGTCAGTCTCGACTGACATCAGAATAATAAAATGAAAGTTAAGATGAAAGGAAAAGATCCTTCTCGTTTATAATTAACATGAACATTGAGTACAAGAGACTCCTCCACACCTGCTAGACCCCATCTCAGGCAGAGCTTTGAAAAGTGGTCATTCATGGAAGGAGATTGCAGCCAAGGCTCTTCCAAGGAAGGAGCAGGGAAATGTTTGCATAGCTGCAACTTCAGTGACTGTATCCAAAATAGAAATAATTAATTTTGAAATGAATTTCCTGAGGTCAGAGAGCACTGAGGTCTCAGTACCTGATTCATTTTTGGGAATCCTAAAGGAAAACGAAAACTAGGTCTGACCCATACTGGAAATTATGTCTAAATGACAACCTATTAAAATGATTCATGCTTCCAGAATCTATTGGCATTATATTTTCCTCAGACCATCATGGTTCAAGTCCATTATGAATGGCATAATCACACGACAGAGCCTCAGTGGAAGAGTAAGTATTCTGGATAACAAAGACTCTAATTTAAGTCAGAAGTCAGTACAGGACTGCCTTGGGGGAACACAAGTGGCAGTATCCGAGGCAAGAAACTGCAGAAGGGAAGACATGCAGGACTCTTAGGGGTTCTGGGAAGGTCCAAGTCCTGGCCTCCCCTAGACATATTTTTTGAGGTTGGAGTTTAGAGAATGGGAAATCAAGTTTGTCCAGTAAGTCCTTCCCATTTCTTCTCATTTTTAACCTTGAGGTGAACCACAGGCTTCCCAACCCAGCAAATCTGCATTCCAATTTTAAACTGTCACTGTAATGACTACAGGGTTCTGTCTGTTCTGAGTGAGACAGAAACACTGTTGTCCTGTCAAAGTCCTTCAGGAGCACCAGCAGTTGCTCCTGAGTAAAGCTCAAGCCAGTGACTATGGAAACAACACTGGACTGTTTGTTTATGTTGGGAGTTAGGGCCGTCTATGTCGTCACAGATGTTGAGCACAATTTCATTCTTGCCAACCAATGTCTGCAGTGTCTTCTCTCTGGGATCAACCTCCAGGCCCGATTTCCATTTTGCTTAGTAGAATCAACACACATGAACTTGTCCATCAGAGGAGCTCAGTGGCAATTAGAAGGACTCTCTTTCCAAAATTAAGTAATTTTTCAGAAAAGAAAGGTTTCTAAGCAGACAATTCACTTCTGTTTCCTTTTCCTTTGCTTACTTTTAAAACTTGGGTTTTGTTTTATTATTTCTCCTTTCTATTGTGAGATGTTAAGTCACATCCAAGCAACATATGTGCAGGAAAGAATACACATTCATGGACATACATACAAAATATATGTAAATATTTTGTAGTTTGTCAGTCACTGTCATAATTCTTCATTGCTTTCTGGAACTGTTAATACCTGGCTTAACTTAAGGAATGAAGGGCAGAGACAGCATAGTAACAATCCCATGACTTTGGAGTTTATTTGAACATGTGTGGTCTGTCTTTAAGTGCTAAATAAATCCTAACTACTTTTTAAGCACACACAAAAATAGTTATAAAGGTAGACTGAATACATAGTGTTGGCTCTTGTAATATTAAATCCTGTTCATTTAGTGCTATGTGGCCATTTCTGTCTCTGCCATTTTACCTGTTTATGAAATGAAATAATGTCCATCCTGTTTGATTGCTTGAAATATCATCAATCACTTACTGGTACGTTATTGTGAATCAGCAATTGTGTGAGTATTTTATGCATATGCATATTAGTTTGTACTTTGTCTGGAGTCCGTGGAAGAGCTCAGCTCATAGCAAGTGAAGGGCAAACAAACTCCAAGTGCAGCACACTTCATTACTAGTCCTCCACATGCAGGCATATGACAAAGTAGATTATAAACATTTGATATCTGCATGGAGCCCACTGTGTCCCATGGTGAAATATAAATCCTATGATGGTTTTTCTCTATTTACAATGCTATTACAAAGATTATACTATTATTTTTATCTTTTGCCAGTTATTTACAATAAATGAAATTTAATATCTCAAGAGGTATCATTAAACTATACAGACTCCCTGAGATTAAAAGAAACTATGCTATAATTTTATTTCTAATTCTTTTTGGGGAATGAGAATTTGAACTACCTTGAGTTTTATGTGTCTCCCATATATGTATATAAAGCTAATTCTCTGTCCCAAGAGTAACACAGACATAAAAAGGCCAATTACAATTTTATGAATAGGAAATATAAGATCTGGGGTTTCAATTTCTCTATTGCTGTGTTCTAAATAACAGCATGATTTCCAGGGGACATTTCCATCCTTCCTGACACAGAACAGCTAGAAAATTTCAATAAGGAGAAGTCAAGCCAGACGCAGTGTGGAGCCTGGTGTAGTGCAAGAAATGCTAAGATGGAGTCCAAGCTGGTGCCTTGCTTTGGAGAAAACTCAGAAGACAATTTGAAGGCAGCTTCTGAGACTCTGGAGACATTGGCACAGATGGAGCTCTGAATTAAGTCACTGTAATCTGAGATTTGAAATGAGCCCCGGGTCCCAACTGTGTATTTTCAGCTATTGTAGGCTAATTGGATGTGGTAATTGATTATTAAAGGACTTGTATGCTTAAAGTTTTAAAGTTCTTAAATTTTGTAATTTAAACATTGCTAGTAAAATTCAAGATTTAAAATCTATTTACTAAATGTTGCAGGGAGATAGGACACCATCAAACATGTTTTGCACTTTTAGATGAGAAATCGCAAGAAGTGCTGGAGAGATGTTTCAGGCATTGCAGGTTAGTCTTATAACCAAAAATGTAAGAGTAACATGGATTAGTGTGTGTTCTATGAAGCCAGAGAAAAGTCCTTGAGTCCTTGAGATGTCATATGTTTCTGCATTTTAAATCCTGTGGTTGGTAAATCAAGAAAACAGATTTTACCAGACAAAGTTTGAAGAGACATGCCTACTTTCTCTTCTTTCTCCCTCGGGTCCCTTTGTTAGAGCAGAGAATGTGTATTCACACATATGTTCCTATTGTATCATATTTATCCAAGAATATTTCATGCCTTCAATCAGCTTTAGTATTTAAAAAATCAGTGTTTACTAACCCCAGATGCCTTACTGTATGCAAGTAGCCATAGTCTAGGCTTTTATTATCCGGAGAGTGTAGTTTTCCTAGGTGGTCTATTGATTTTATATCATCTGCCATGAAATGTAAATAATTGCACATTTGTTTTCAAAGTGTTTAGTAGATTTTTGTTTTTCTTTGGCTTCTGTAGAAAAATCACTACAAGTTTATTATTGTAATATATTGCACAGATCGAAGGTCGGAAGTCTGATGTGAGTCCTTGGGGGCTAAGATCAAATGGTGCATTTTCTGGGGGTTCTGAGAGGCTCTTCCCTCTGCTTTTCATGGCTGATATTGGCTTCTTACATTCTTTCACTTGTGGGCCAGACAAAGGTGGCTCACACTGTCCCTTCTCCTGATTTTGATTTGATTTGTGAAGAACATTTAATATTAGGTTATATTTAAATGATTACAAATGAACTAAGGTCTGGGAGTCTGCGTGTCAGGAAATTTGTGACTTCGTTTCCCCTTCTTGGGATCACTGTTTTGGAGACTGGGTACCATGTAAAGTGTCCAAGTTTCTCGAGAACTCCACATAAAGGAAGTTCAGAATGCCTAAACTGAGAGAAACATTGCAAAGTGAAAAAATGATGATAGCAAGAGATTCCACAAAGCCAACAGCTGTTGTGAGTACACGCCTGCCTGGAGCGGACTGGTGACCCCCATCTGATGCTGTTTGGGATAAGAACTGCAATCAGCTGAGCCCTATTTGCATCCTTAACTTGCAGCATCATGTGCAAGTCAAAGTGATGCTAAAGCCGTAAAGTACCAATCTACCTAAAGGGACTCCAGCATAGAGAAAGGACAACAAGGGCTGCTATGCTCATCTAGCAAAAAACAGTGGGTGTTTAAAGTCCCTATCACAAATAATTCTTGACCTCCCCCCCACACACAGTACAGCTCTTTAGTGACTTATAATCTTTGTGATCTTCCATCATAGTCCCCTTCCTAAATTCTCCATTCTGTGTTTCAGGGTGCAAAGCCTTATCTACTGACTATTCTGAGATTCAGCATCACTCCTGTCTGACCACACAGACAGCTGATTGTAACTCTGCTATCAGAGTTCTGCCTCCAGCTAGGGAAGAGAGGGTCCCTACCCTGCTTATCCTTGATGCTTTCATGACCTCTAAGCACACCTCATATTGAAAAT